GAAATGGATAAAAACACAATGAAAAAGAACTCTCTGCAAGGGACACAAGCTTAAGAAGTGCAGTCTGTAGGGTTTGTGCTAACAAGCGCTGCTGTCAGACAGTATCCATCTAAGAAAAAGAGGTCCTGAGAGAGGCTCTGTTGTCAGAAGTAAAGGACTGGACCCATGATGTATGTTAGCATTTGAGAACCTAAGACTTTACTTTCATATTCAGAAAAAGTTTTGAGATCCAGAATGGAGCACCAGAAAATCTTGCACTGAGCACAGCAGGGTAGATACTTAGAAAGTGGCTCCCAATTTTTGAGAGGTCATGGGCTGCTAATAATACTCTACTCTGAAGTATTGTACTGCCTTTACAAATATCATGTAATATTCATAATGCCCTTTTGGGGAAGGTGGGTAAGAACTGCTCCTCCCATTTTACAGATTAATACAGTGAAACCCCAAGAGGTTAAGAGACTTGGCTTTGCTGCCTGTTCCATAAGCTTAGGAGTGTCAAGCACACTGTTCTGATTACTGTATTATGCAGGCAAGCAAGCCTCTTTTTAAACATCAGAATTTTACAATACCAGATCTTGGCTTCTTTATGAATTACAGCTGAGAGGCTAAATAAATGTGGGTAAATGTAGATCTAGATATTTGGGGGCTAGACAATTGGGTTCATCTGGACTATTGGTTATAAAGAGACAGCTATCACAAAGTCAGTTGCATTTTATAAGGGGATTAGATCTTTCCCTTTTCAGGTTAGATGGCACGTGCAATTCCTCTAAAAACTAAATTACAGACAGACAGTACCTCATATAAATCCTCTATTGCCACCTTTGCAAATCATGTGTAATATGAGTTGTCTGTAGAACATTTCACTGCTAAGGAGTTGAACCAGTTCCAATAGATGGAGCTAGAGGGCAGGAACAAACATGCATCATGCTATTAATCCGTGTTTTCACCAGCTTCAGAGCTGCTTTGAATGATTTTTGTTAGACAAAACAAGCACTGGGATTTGCACAGCTTTAAGGAACTACTAAATGCGTCCTTTTCACAGCTCTAGTGATCCACATGAATCCTAGCTTACTGAGCTGTTACCATTCATATTTGGTTGCTCTGGGTCACAGTCTGTTTTGCCTGCATGATAGTTCATCCATCTTGGAAAGTTACACTGTGTTCCAGTACTATTCAGTTACACTCAGCAGAGTTACGGCCGCAGAGAATTTGGCCCATTCTCCATCAGGTTAACTTGGATAGGTGCTTGGCAAAAGCAGGGCCCTGACAGATAGAATTACAGAAGCGCTAATCTGTTGAGACAAAGAGAAGATGCATTTTCTGTAGAGGGGTCGGGTCTCTCATGAACCTTTGCAGCCATGGTCCAAGCATAGTGCACTCTAACCTTGAAGTAAGGTTATTGCAGCCTGCTTTATACCTTGGCATTGTATGGAAGCTGCAGCTAGAGCACAGCTCAGCAGCCTTTTTTGCTGCTTGTTAAGCAGGGATTTAACTATACCCTTTCTGTCCATAGTCAGGCTTGGCTGTTGATCATTCCCTGGGTTTGACTTTTAAAGCTCAGCTGTCAGACAAATTACCTCTGGCTCTTTTGCTACCAAGACAATTAATCTCTCAATACAAGGTGGAAGGGCATTCCACCAATATATAAGATGGAAAGGCAGGGAAGTTTTCGTAAGAAAGGGTTGGTTTTGGAGCTCAAACCCCAGCCTGATGGGTTGGAGCCTAAAGTCAATGCATTTCACAAACAAAAATGATTGCATGAATTGGAGAGGCAGTGGCTTTTGCTGCTTCCATTTTGGGTTGGCTGAGGGCAGGGTTCAGCTCCAACCTGGGTACGGCCAACCTGATTGCAAGGTGCATATCAGGTTGTAGGTAAGGCCAGCCTATTGCAGGTGGATAAAAATGAATATTGTTATTTAAAAATATTGCATTTTTAATTATATTTATATTGTATTTTATTTCATTTAAATATTAATAGACTCTAGTGACTCTAACCCTTAGCACAGGGGCTCATCAAGTCAAATGTGTTTAATTTTGCAAAAGACAAAATTTATATTAAGTACTATGTGTTTCCTGGTGAAGTTGTAAAGGAGACCAAACCAGTGAACTGGTGGAAGTCACTGGATAAGTACATGGAACAAGAATGTCTGAAAGTGTTAAATCATTTTATGAGGTCAGTAGTCTTATCTGGAGGTGCAGAGAGAATTTTTTCTTTTCAGTGCATTCAGCCAGTTCAGTTCAATGATCATTTCTCTCAAAGTTGAGAAACTGGGAGTCAAAAAAAGAGAAAAACTTGTTTTCTTCTTCTAATTTATAAATAAAAATCAGGTACAAGGGGATGAAGTCCACAAGCTTTGAAAGGTTTCTGGTTGTCATGTCCTTCAGTAATCAGTTCAGTTCACTAATTACAGATGCCTCCTTTCTGAAAAATCAGTCAGTTGTAGATGTAAAACATGTTTAGATAATATTATGTATCCAGAACATTTAACTAATTAAAAATTAAAATGCAGTTTTAATGTATTTCAAAATGAAATCCAATTGCCATCCAAACAGAGTTTAACACAAGTCACAAGTAATTACAGCAATGGAAAAAGCCATCATTTGTGCACAATTCAGGAAAACATCTAGTTTATGACAAGGGCACAAGAAGGACAAGTAAATAAAGGAAGTGCAACCTTCAGCATTTTCTAACAGAACAAAAGAAGGAAAACTTAAGACTCTGAATAAATGTATAGAGAGGTATAGTTGTTTAAATAAATGACCATAGATATACTGTATCTTTCTGGTTAGTGACTTAGAGTAATGGTTCTTAGCACATGCATATAGAAACTGGCTTTGAAAATGTAAAGAATTTGAGGTTAAAAATCCTAGGATTAACTCTCTGCTGTAAGTGCTCACTGTAAAGCAGAAAAAAATGTCTTTCCAGGGCAGTTGATTTTAGTTTAACGATGCCCAGCTGGCTGGATTTGGAGGTACCATTTATTTCCTCAAATTATTGATGCCCTCATAATTCATGAGCAGTGGACTGCAGCAGAGGCATGAAGGACTTAGGGAAGGGCCATTAATAATCAAGTGAGAGAAACGACGTATAACCTCCAAGATGTGTCTCTCTGTCGGTGATGATGAATGAACTATGAGCAGGTGCATTGTAGGAAGTCAAAAGATGTTGATGGTACAAGAAGGAGTTCTCTGTGGCTGACGTTGAGTTTTTTTCTGTCCTGTCCCATCCTGCTCCTCCCCTCTTCCATCTCCCCTCCCCCAGATGGCCCTGCTGTACTGGAGATCCACATCACGTTAGAGCTATGCCCATCACCTCTTACAACTGTAGGGCATTATTTATAGCATCTCTTTCCTCAGCAGTGCAGTGGTGTGGCCGAGGCACACCCTGGGGCTTGTGAACTGTTTAAATCCAGGGGCCCAAAGCATCATAGCAAAAGGACATGAAGGCTGGGGCTGCTGTAGCAGCTTGTTAGCCTCATTAAAAAAATAAAGCTGCGTGTTCAGAAGTAGCTCCTTGGGAAAAGCCTATTTAATCTAGTTTTGCACTGGGGAGTAGCACTTGGGGGTTGTTGGATAGTGTGTGTGTGCGCGCACGCACGTGCATGTGTGAGGTTGCCAAGAAAGGGGAAAACTAAAGCTTCTTGCATAATCTCAGGGATTTACTTTGAGGGCTCTCAGTGGAGTAAAACAAACGTTTGTGAATATTCAGGAAGGAGCTAAGAGCTAGTATGCATGTGAGTGAACTTGCTTGCTTTCTGTGGATTATCCTGGAGGGGGATGGGCAGCTCAGCCCGAATCTCAGCACTAATCATGTGTGCATGCCAACCATGCATCTTCCTCTTTTGTGTGCTGACTTGACTCACAGGGCCTGACCTGCATCCTTCATAAAACTCCCACTGGATTCTGTGGCAACAGGATAGTGCCCAAAATGCCTAGAAACATGTAATTTGCATGTGTCCAACAGTTTTTATCCAAGAAGCACAAATCAGCCTGTTAAAAAGTAATGAACTGTGCTCTGAGTCCCTGCGGTGAGGTGGTTAGCCATTCATGGCATGCACAGAGGGAAGTCTAAAGCAGAGATTTTAGGTAACTTGCTGATGGTTACACCGGGTGCATCTACATGTGTGCTTTAGTGCAGAGTAGACTAACGAGCTCCACAATAATGCGTCACAGTCTACGTGTGAACCGGTATTAGGGTGCAGTAGGTTAATTTAACTGTACTGCAAGATAGTACTGTCAGGGATAATACTATCATATGGTAGAGTACTTGCATGTGATCAAATGCATGTGTAGACTGTGACAGGAGCTAGCTGGGACATGAGGGTGCTAAAGTGCTGGGACTGCCTGGCAACTAGTCCCACGTTGTAGCACCCTTGTGCCCCAACCAGCCCCTCCTATGCCCGACACCACCACCCAGAGCCTGGGGCCCCTGCCAGCCTGGGGCTGCTCTGCCCCAGCTTAACATGCTGCAGTCTTTGGCACACGTGTAAATGCTGTGCCCAGGAGCAGCTGACTCCAGTGCAAACTAACCAGAGTTTATTGCATTGTACTAATTACATTTGTAGATGCACCCACTGTGGATTAGTGGCAGGGCAGGAATTAGAACCCAGGGATTCAATGCTTGATCCTCCCTGCTATCTTAATTTCTGCTTCATGATCCTGTTACCCAACCACACTGTATGGATGGGACTTTGAAATAATGTGCTTTATTATGGCCTGGAGTGGTGTTGTGGCTATAATGGCCAGGAGGTCACAAGAAACAAGGCTTTTTTTTTTTATATCTTTTTTGGGCCAACTGTAGAGTTGGAAGAGTTATTAGACAAGCTTTGGGCATCAGTTCCCCAGGTCCAACTATACAGGTTAACACAAAAAAGTGTTGCCTCTCGATGTTTTGTTACAGTGCTTACTGCTTATCAGTAAGGAACAAGCAGAATAATTGTGTGAACATCACAGTTTACTTCCTGCTAAATGGCCTTCCTTTTTCTCCCCTTTTGCCCTAGACCTCTGACTTGGATTGAAGAAAGGGGACCAGGACTGAAACGTGAAAAGAAAATCAACTTCTGCTTCACAAGCGGCTGCCTGGAGAACCTCCCTCAGCCCCCACCAGCCACAGTGGGCCCTTTCATGCAGGATCAGAACCTCTTTGCCAAAAAACTGTTGGGCCAAGTCTCCAGGGAGGAGCTGGCCACTGAGAAATGGCGTATCCTGAGGTGCCTTGACCTTGCAGAGGAGATACAGCAGCACTGTGAACAGCCAGAGAATATCCATTCATAAAACCATGCTTAGCAAGAAAGAGATCTGAACCGTTGGAGACTGTGCAGATCTACAGCTTAGGGTTACATCTTTTGCATTTCCAGTGACCCCTTTCCATAAAATTACTGGAGAAAATGTCCTGCTTTCTTGTGGGAGAAATAAGGCCTTTCATCCTGGAGTTCGTCCTGGTTCAGAAATTGAAATTATAATCTTCTCTGAGTGCACAAAATGTTTCTGATTTTGCAAGCTTCTGTGCAGCACCACTGATAATACTTAGAAAAGAAAAAAATGGAGATCCTGTATTTGATGGCTCACTCTCTTCTTTCCAACCTATCAGGTTAAGTCTGTTCATTGTGTTCTACAAAAAATACCAGATAATCCCAAGTATAAAAAAGAAAGACATGCTGCAAGGGAATTTCGTAGACAAGCTGAAAAACCCCTTCAAGATAAGGAGATGACATTGTTAGAGAGAGTTGAAAGAAATTGTTTAAATGTTCAAAGAGAGAGAAAATCTTCTCCCTGCCTCCCATAAACCAAATCACTGGTACTTTTACAGTGAATGAAAGCTTTAGAGTGGGATTTTTTAGAAGCACTTGGAGTGGTTCTGCATGAGGAAAGGCAGAGCGGTGTGGAGATGTCTGAGCTAGTTCTGAATATAATTGCTCAGGTTTTGGAAGCAATATAACTGTATTAGTAGGCATTCCACATGGGCTAATTAGCCTTACTGAAAGGAAGGATATATTAGCCCAGGCTAAGTGCCATGCTGGTGCTGCTACGGTTGTCTCTATGGGACAGGGCAGTGCTGTTTGCAGGGTATCTGAGTTACTTGTGTGAGCATGGCATTCCACCTTGCTAATTGCTTCCAGAATTTGAGCTAGTTTCCAGTTAGCTTGGATCAGTACACAAGACTCCATTATGTAACATACCTTGAATGTTAGCTTAATTGTGCTTCCTTTGGAGTCACTGAGAAATTTCACCACTGACTTCAACAACAGAGAAAAACAGAATATTGAATATTCTACCCTCAAAAAATATTATTGTGTCTTGTTTGTGACTTTATATAGTACCTCTTTCAGTTAGTACAAGCCTGTACAATGAGGAACTCTATGAAAATGCTTAGCTATATTACTGGCATAGTTACACATGTACATAGGCACCAAATTGGAAGCTATGTGCATCTAAGTGTGTTTAACTTTATAGAAGCTTTTTCCAAAGGGAATGTAGGGGTTGTTGTTGCTGTTGGGCTTTTTTTAAAGAATTATTACGCTTTTGTATTCTCCAAGACTGCTGTCTTACAGATTTGGGATTTTGAATTCCACTGAAAGCTTTAATATGTCCATCCCTGCACGCCATGTCATATTTTTCCACTTGCTTGAGATAGAAGCAAGAGTTTTCTGTGGGAGTGGGTGGAGGGAATTAAGAATGTATACACTTTATGAGAAAGGAAAGTGCCTATTGTGTCAACTTTTTAAAGCTGCTTTGGTTTTATTTTTTTAATATCTAGCTTTGCTATCAGTAACACCATGGAATATTACAACTGAAATTTCATTCATCACACTGAGAGTCTCTCTTTCCAGTTAGGCTAGTTAGCTGCTTATCTTTAAAAAGAAAAAAATTACACAAAAAATCCCACACTGCTTGCAAAAATGTAATCCAATTTAATTTACGTCAGGATCCAATATCCTGACCACACTGCTCTGTTCACTCATTTCCTGCCCTTTCTTTCCAGTTTTTGCGCTAGAATTACTTTCTCTTCAGAGGTGTGACTTTGCTGAGGTAACATGGTATATTGTGTACCAGCATTGGTGAATTTGTTATATGTAACTTAATAAAGTGATTAGAGTTCAACATGTTCCCTGTGATAGTTGTTATCCTTTAACTTTAATATCTGCTCCTGATTGCCCTGTAGGATTGTATCTAACAAGCCGCCTGGCATCTCTTACTACATCCACAACACTTTCAACATCCATGGACTTAAATAGAGCTGAAGGTGTAGAGAGCACCTAAGAGATGTTCAGCATTCAATAAGAGCAGTCTTGTAATTGTTGTCCTTCTTCTGCCCATTGCAGTTCTTCTGCCCGTTAGCAATGCATACATTTCTGTGCTAATTTCACCCTTCTCAAGATGTGTTCGTGCTCCTATCAATAATCAAACGGTTAGCCGCCCCTAAAATCTGCCATTCTCTTCCAAAACTTTGATTCCCAAGACAAATTCCTTGCCTTTGTTACACGATTTCACCTTAGCACAACACTTCTCATAAATTCTGGTCTTTCTTTTTTAAAATCTGACTTGCCTCTTAGCACACTCAAATTTGGATCTGTACAATTTCTAGTTTCCCATCCAAAAGTCTGAGCATTTTGTGCAACCTTCTTGAGCCTACACAATAAAGTTAGGAATAGGTATAAGGGAAAGTTTTTGGTTTTTTTATGCCCCTCCTTCCAGGTTTCCAGCACTGCTTGAATTTTGGGCATGAAAAATTCTATCAGAAGAACCTTTTACATGATACTGGCCCTTCTGTTCCCAGCTAGATGCTAGAAATATAGAGAAATGAGCAAATGAAATGTGATGTTATATGTGACATGGGGAGAGCAGGACAACACATCCTCTACAGAAGTCTCCAGTGTTCCTGCTCTTTAATGCTAGAAACCCCACATTCCTGTCTGATAGTCACTCTTCTCTACCCACAAATTGTGAATTGTTATGGAAACCATTGCATCCTGGGATGACTAAACATATGGGATACACTATTTGATGATATTGCTACAAACATTTTGGCCAGGGCAAAGGCATTTGGATTGCTGCAGAGGTCTCTGCAAGGGGTGCAGCTTGTTGAGTGGAAAAGTCAAGCCTACAGACCAAAGAAACCTGTGTTGGTAGAGAGGTACTCCCAGAGCCAAGCAGCAAGCTTTAGGTAGAGAGGAAGGGTTGGTTATGCTTTGGTTTGACTTCACTGTGGGATTAGGCAAGATCAGTAAAAGTTCGCTTGGAAGGTTCCCCTAAATCTGAAGTGAAGCTGCAAGAGAAGGACCCACGCCAGAACAAAGCTCAGAGAATGCTCAAGTGTGGTGAGGCAATAGGCAAGGGGCATATTTGAAAAGCTTATCGTTTCTGTCTAGAAGCCTGCATGCCTTGTTATCAAAGTACAAAGTAAATTTGTTTTAGTTATCTGGTGGGTTCTGGGAGAGGCTGTTCCTGAAGTACAGTTTTGAAGGTCAGCGGTAGGTCAGGTGCACCCAAGACAGCCAGGCTATGGGGCCCTGTGTTACAGTGTAGGGATTGTGTCACTATATGCTGTGACTTCTGGGGGATTCCTAAAGGTTAAATGTATGCATTAAGGACCCTGTGTTATTTTTCTGCATGCATCACTGGTCAATTTACAGAGTGGTGTTTTTGATGATTGACAAAGTCTCTAATCACTTTTTGATGGTTGCCTAGGAAATTTGTGCTCTCAACAGGTTGCAATGCTGGCAGGGTCCCATTTCTCTGAAGGGGTAATAGACAGTGTGCCCAGACAGCGTGCTGGTGAAGCTAAGGGAAGAAATGGGTTCCAGCCTACTTAGGCCAAGGGAAACTCAATAATGCATGCAGTGTTGCCAGCTTTCCTGGTTTTCCTGCAAATGTAGTGATTCTTGTACCTTTTTCCTCAGTCAGAACAGCTATCATCTCCCATTACTACCCATGCAGCTGAAGCCAACAAGATGATGGCCATTTCCCTACAGGTTATACATTTAGACGTGGGAGAAGATAGCTGCCATCTCCCACTGCTTTCAGGTAGATTGAAGCTGTGTCCAGAGCTGCCAGAGCATGGCTCCACAGGGGGTGGGGTAGAGGAAAGGTACAGAGGACATGAGTAAGACGAGCACTGTGTGGAAGTAGGTGGATTTAGCAGTGGCAGACTGAAGGACTGCACAGGTTAGCGAGAGGAGGGAAGGTGGAAGGGATGTGATGGCAGCTTCTCAGCTTTAGGTAGTGCAGAAGAAGGATAGTGCTCTCCAGGCAGCCATGGGGCAGGCAGTGTGCAAGTTCCAGAGGTCTGGAACCCGTAGGAGGAGCTCTCCAAGAAGTGCAAGCAGCTCTTCTGTTCCTATGACTTCTTTCCAGGGCTGGATGGGCCAGCAGTCTATGCACCCAGCAACAACATTTTTTGCTGCCCACTGTCCATGGACTTACCTGTTGCCTGGAATCAAGGCAGTGTCTGGAGAAGGGAAGGGGAAGAAATGTCACAGGGGTTTCAGGCAGAGGGTCAGTAGGAGAGAAGGATAATTCAAATTAAAGTATTTTTGGATAAAGTATAACAGCATAATACATAAAACCATATTTACTGTAACAATTGTATAATTTCTACCTGTAGTTAAATGGAAATTATACAAAAATATGAATGTTTTTAAAATTATTTTTTAAATGGTGTTTAATGTTTAAGAATCAAATACTTAAATAGCTTATAAAGTATTTTGAATTGGTAGGGTACTCCATTGTGGGATTTAGGGTAGTAGCTGGTGGGACTCTTCAGACTCATAGTGTCAGAGATAGAAGTGTGGAGGCTTGTGGAACTAGTAAATGAACCCAGATACTCTATAGTTTGGGAGTTAGGCTTGGGTCTACGGTTAGGGTTAGAACTGCTGAGGCTAATAGAGCTAGGGTTCAGGTTTGGCTGGTCAGGATACCTCAGGCTGAGATTAGGGATCTGTCTGGTAGGGCTTTGCAAGCTACAGTTAGGCTTGATTAGGGCTTCTTGGCTAGGGTTAGGGTTGTGGCTAGTGATAGGCTTGCAGCTGCTTTAAATATATTACTGCACTAAGTTACAAAAAGCTCTGCTTGGATTAGTATAGGGGTTCCCAAACTGTGGTATATGTGCTCCCGGGGGTATGCAAGGCATCTCGGGGGGTCCACAGTAGAAATTGTACAATGGTGGATTTAATTTTTATTATAATAATAATTCACATTTAAGGGGTTTAAATATAAAATGTATGCTGGGAGCAGTACACAGGCAGCTAGTAAATCTGGAAAGGGGTATGCAATAAGAAAAAGTTTGGGAACCTCTGGGTTAGTAGTTAGCAAGTACTGTCTTCCTTGATTGTTCATTTTCCAGATGCATGTTATAACCTTAGTAATAAAAAGGAATTATGAGGGGTCAGATGGACAAGT